ATATATGTGTGAGAAAATCCACAATAAATTTAAGATTTAATTTGTTTCTGATAGAAAGAAATTAATTTTAAAAGAAATTTTTAAAAGTTTTAGAAAATATCGCTTGTCTGTTTTAATCTACTTGCAGATCATCATTCAGAAGAACCATGTTGATATTTTTCTTAAAATATTAATCTGCCTGAACGTGAAAAAACGTTTTTATTAACTAAAATGCTAACCTTAAAAAAGCACAAACGATTCTATTTTTCTACCACAATTAAAACCTTTTATACAAAGTTACCTGCTAGTGCATTAGTATTAGAGGTATAGAGCAAATGAAGAAAAACAATGATTACTAAACAAAAACTCAATTTTCAAATGAAGCCTTTTATACCATAACAAGTGCTATTCCTCTAAGTTATTTGTTATAAAACCCATCAGAAAATTTTGGATGTTTTGTTGGCATTATTGGCCATTAAATGAGTTTAAAGGCTTTCCTGCTAATCAAAAATCTGACTGATTGTTTCTGACTGTTGGTTCACTCAACCCCATCCAGAAGTTTGACCCACAGTTTCCTGTAGCCCTAAACAGAGCTCAGTTTCCAGTAGCAACACTCAAGCAAAAGCCCGACTCCTGGGGGAAGTAAGGTGGAATATGCAGTTAAGACTAAGCAAGGTTACTTGTTAACAGCTTATAGTACCTTGGAGTGTAAGTGACTTAAACCATCTTAAGCGTAACAGTGTGGATGAGTAGGAGTGACAGGACTTTCTAGGTCAAGGAAAGTGAATCCCAGAAAAGCTTTTACCTGGAGCGAGACGATTTGCTTATCTCGAGTTGCCACAGCTATAATCACATTGTCACTCTGCAGGGCTGGCCTATTTATTGGCTTTTCTATTCATACAAACAGCAAATTACCACGAAAAGTAATCATCCTTCCAAGTCATAAAGTAAGTCAGGTCATTAACCTTGTACCTGTTCCTATAAAAAAAAAGCACATTTTTAAGAGTCAGTGTTGGTAAAAAAAAAAAAAAACAAAAAAAAAACAAAGGCTCTCTTCAAAACTTTAAGTGGCTGAAGGAGAAAATAGTGGCACAATTTTTTTCAACACATTTACATATTTGTACTATTTTTATGTGCATATCTTTTGGATGCAGTCCAAACAAACACAGGCCTTCTGTACTGGAAACATAATTTGGTCCAAAAGTGAGAGTTGAGTGACTGTCAGTCTGTGCCAACCCTATTATAGTCTGGAGCTCTGCCCAGTGTATTTTAGGATATACTTCAAACCATCACAAACAAGGAGGACCATGAATAATTTACAGTATAGAAAGATTTACCACAGTCAGAGCATCACAGCCATCCTTCATTTTTACTGTCTGATTCACTTGTCATTTTCTATTGGAATGAAATGGAAAAAGCGTCTGCAGCGCTTTTGCATTTATTTTCACACTCCCTCAGTCTTGAAACACAGATAAATTCAGAATACCTCCCACTCCCTGTTTTATTGACCAAAACCACATATTTTATTGCAGTGACGGTTTTTAAGGGCAAAATACTGGTGGAAAACGAGTCTAAGGAGAACAATTACAGCTGGATGACATATGATTTCTGTCACAAAACTGGTTTAGGCAAAGATCAGCATACATGCCAAATGTCTTCATCACAGCATTGCAAAAAAAAGTGTAGAGGATAAAAGCTGTAGAGGATAATTGACTGATGGAAAATAAATATGTACGGCACGTGTGAATCTGACCAAAATTAAAAAATGAGTTTTTCCCAGTATGATTAATTTTATTCTTAAATTATTTACAGCGTATTCAAAAACACAACATTAGAAGTGCCAACTTTATTCTCACTGTCTGACAAACCTTCCTGACTGGTTTTAGGTCAGCTAGGATTACTTAAACAAAATCCCTGTAGTGCTCTGAAAGGTCGCATGTGAAGGAATCATTTCTCCAAAACTTGCATAAAAAGTCAGAAAGCTGGTTGCAAATAATCTGAGAAAGATGGGGGGGTCAGGGGTTAGATGTCTTGTGAACAAATGAAACTAAGATTGCAACGTTTGATCAGTGAGGATGTTTCCCGTCTTTTCTTTTGTAGAGGTGTTTTCTGTCAGTTTGGTGACACCTCTGAACATATTTCTGACCTTTGAACTGCTGGAGTACCACTCTCCTTGTCCATGCCCAGTAGTGGGAACTTGGCGCCACCATTGATTTGTCTACACTGCTGGCTTACTGATCTTAGGGAACTTTACGCCTCGAAGCACTTGGGATTTTATCTACCCTAGTGGATAAAAATGTCACTAAATCATTCAGACATTTTTGGGCTAGTATCCTGATTTTGTCGCTGTTTGGACTTTCAGTTTCGTCCATTTCATCATTTCTTGTTTATTTAGGTCTGGCTTTAGTTTGTTTCTCTGTGCCAGTTCTTTTTTGCTTTTTCATTTGTAAATTTAGATTGAGGCTCTTTAGATTAGAGTTTCTTTGTTTACGGTTTATGTTAGCTGCACATTTTTCCCTTAAATTCTATGTTCTATGACAACTTCATTCTAACGGATAGGAAAGGATATTCTTCACTGGAAGTTTGAATAACTTCCCAATTGAGTTGAAGAATAAGGTGGAAGAGGAGTTTACCAACAAAAGTTTCTGCTCAGTTTGGCAGGGGATCAAACACAAGGCCTCTTCAAACACTACTCCCACCCACAATCTAGGTTGGCAGGCCAAAGAGACAGACAACAGATCTCCTTCAATACAGAGAAGGTGGTAAGAACCCTAAAAATGCCCAAGCTAAGCTGGGCAGAGCATCTGAGGTAGTTAAATAGTTAATCTGCAGAGCTAAACAGTCAGGCTGCAACCTTCTGCATTGTTGGACTTGGCTTTGCAACGCATCAGACTAAATAACTTCTATTTCTCCCCAAACCCTGTAATCATGTTCAAGGACCTCCGTCTACCAGAGGTCAGCGCCTGTCAAAGACAATGGCTGTTAAATTAGAAAGACGCCATTCTTTCATTCGCTTGACCGCCTGTGGTGGTGGTCCCATCAGATACATTAGCTGAAGTGCAGGGACAGAGCATGTCCCTCAAAAGTAGATGAGTTCCTAATAGCATTCTGCTCTTCATACATCAGGGGCCCATTGTGGACAAAGATTCTGACCTTGAAGTCCAAGGAAGCCTGACATAGAAGGGGAATTTATAACAAGAAAGTTTTGGTGTTGTCAGCATCAGTTACAGCAGGCAGGAAATGTAATTTTTCATGCTTAGCATCTGACACCGAAGGTCTATAGAGCACGGGACAAAAGCCCGTTGAAGAAAAAATGTCTCAGATAGAGAAATGGAGTTTCCGATTTTCTATAAGAGCAGGTAATAATGACCTGGTACAGGAAATTGCTGAGGTAGAGGGTAGAAAGGACGGTGAGACTGATTTGAAGCAGGGAGCTTTGGTGTACAGTGGCTAAATGTAATTTTCCAACAGGTGATTTTGTAAATGGAGGTAATTTTAGTAAATTAGAAGTGTAAAAAAGGTTTTCACTATTACTGAGCTACAAGTGGCAGTGAGAGCTTATGAGCTTAGTAACATGGTAGATTAAAAAATACAACAAACACCTAATGTCAGGAAAAATGAAGTTAAAGGTTTCACTTACAGTTTAAATGTTTTAATATTTAAAATTGTGTTAATAAAGTAACTTTAGTTAGCCTTTGCGGTGGCGCTCTGCAAATCCAATGGCTTCTGAGTTGTAGATTATGTTTACTTTATTTTGAAGTTGCTACCTCCTTCTGGCTAAATGAAACTGCAATAAAACTGAAAGTGTTTCATGAACTTTGAAACACTTCATAAAACATACATAATTACCCACTTTGTAATCTGAAAGTTAAAAGCCAATGTGCCGTAGGCTATGTATTGACAGCCACTGTCAACATGGTTGCCAACTGAGCCTTGAAATACAAAGTTGTTCAGTATTTTAAATTCTAAGAGGTGTACAAAATGCAATCGATACGGGATGCACTCTTTCTATATTTTTAAGTCAGTACAAATCTGTTTACAAAAAATGATGATACAGGTAAGGCCCCACTCAAAATAAGGTGTTTGCTCTTCCTCCATTCAACTGTCTATTGCGCTTCTCGTCAACCCAAACAGAGAATCCATCACTCATCTGGATTCATGTTGTGGGCTGTGTCTCCATCAACCAGTGGAGTTCTTATTCATAGTTGCTTGGGTCTGATGAGCGCTTGTGAGCAATTAATTATAGTAACAGGTTATTTTTGTATATTAAGCATCCTTTAAGCAGTTGTTTTACAGATTAGGTCCTGAACACAGTAAAGACAGCAAATTTCCCCAACAAGACTGTTCTTTCCTGTTAAATGTGCTATACACAAATGAAAAATGACTTTGTAGCACTTTTTTATGTGTCCTTAAATAACATTTCAAAGCAGAGAGTAAACTTGCTAAACCTGCACTTCAACAAGGGCTGCAGATGTACAAATTGTCAGAGGATTTGTTTTCAGAATACCATAGTATTCTGACAACTTTCTTAACCACAATAAGTTCTTTTTTTAGCAGAATTTTAGAGCTGTCCTGCAGAAATGACGATATGAGTGACTACACAAACTGGTCACCGGTGAGTCCATAAAGTGTAATACTGGTTTAATTTATTTTAAAAAGTGTGTCATGTTACTGTACTTTTTATGTGCACATAATTCATAAGTTATAAACACCATTTTCTAATTTGGAGAACTGGTTTTGTCTGAGTTGAAAAGCAGAAGCGTGCAGCAGCAGAGGAAGAGCCCGCCTGAAAACTTTCACATCCTAAAACCTCAACCCCTCCGACTCTGCTGAGACTTTCAAACCGAATAAAAGTAAACCTGCAAAGATGGATTACATAAAGGTGTGCTTTGATCTGGAGTGACTGTCGAACTCTTTATCAGACAACGGTGTGACAAGAGCGGAAAGCTCCAAGGTAATCTTTGTTATTCTGCTAGAAGTAGTGTTGCCCACAGGGAGAGGATTCCCAGACTGTTTAATCAGGCATATTAATCATACATTATTTATTACAATTACAAAAGCAGCTCTCCAAGGCAATAGCCCTTGAAGACATGAAGCATGAAAAAGACTGTGTGAACAGATTAAACTGGCCCCGTGGCACTTCTCAGCACAATGTATTGTACAGTGCTGAGTTAGAAGACATTTTTAAATCAGCTCTACATGATGTCCTTCCAGAGGCATAAAGGAATAACACACACATTAGTTATGTATGATGTGTCTCCCAAAAAAATGCCAGAAATGTCTTGAGAGTACCAATTCTGCTTAAATCCAAAATGCTGAGACGCTGAAGATGACTAGGATTCTCAAAGATAAATAAAGCACAACAAAAGAACATAACAATTACAACAACAAAAAAAAAAAAAACATGTTGCAGACATTCCTGAGCTGTCTATGATTCTGTACCTTCAAGGAAGAGAGTGTTTTTTCCTTTCTTTTCCAGGTGTTGCTCCAGGCTATCCATCAGTATGGCGCAGCAGTGCTGAGGCATGCTTAGGTGAGCCTGATTAAAGCCAAGGATGCCTCTCGACCTGCTCTGAAGGAAATGAGCGCAGAGGGAGGACTCCAGACCCCTTTCCATCCATCTCCCTGCTGCTTTATTCATGTGCTATCTGGTTCGCTGGCTTCTGCATCGGGTTCCCTCTCCATACGTTGCATTGCTCAGCAGGTGCTGCTGAATTGTGTATGTCTCATTATGTGTTCCACAACGTCTTCCTCTCTTTCCCTTTGAGTGTGAATAAATGTGCTTGGGGAAATTATTTGCGATCATCTGTTCACACAATTTGCATTTTCAAGAATTAAAAGCCAAAATTAAAATAGTATTTAAAACAAAAAAAATCTGAAATAACACTCCTACAGCTGCTGTTGTGACAACTAAGAAACAATATATATATATATATATATATATATATATATATATATATATATATATATATATATATATATATATATATTTTTTTTTTTTTTTTTTTTTTTTTTTTTTTTATATAACACCTTTTCCCTTCTCTCATTTATTACCTTTCCCCTCC